ACTTAATGCTTTACAAGAACACATATTTTTGGGGTATGATTGCCATTGGAGTCAAAGAAAATGAATGTTTTATAATGTAGTTTTTGTTGACTTCTTCTACCAAAGGGCCATTCTTTCTGTATTCTTTATAGTGACCCTGGTGCAGAACATACCATTGGATCTTGTATGTTCCTTTCTTATCATTTATCCTGATCAGCTTAGCCACTTGGGCCCATTCCCTTGCATATCGTGGGTGATCTAGCAATAAAAATTGGCCAATATTTGGTTTGTCCTCTTCTTGAACCTTTTTTGGTAACACCTTATAATATGGAGTGAACTTGATGCATTTATAGGTTTCTTATAATTTACTTAAGGAATAAAGACTGGGATTTTATGATTTTTGGCGTAATAAATGCCCTACAACTATATATTTATTAATCTTCAAAGGACCTATACAAAGGTAGAAAAAATAGTCCTCTTGTAATTCTAAAATATATTTGGAAATAAGCATAGTTGCAATGATAAATAAATATTAGATAATTATATCTATATAATATATTTAATTACACCATCCTAAATATCCAGGAATGGCAACAAGATCTGAAGTTGGAAAGGAAAATTAACATAAAGATTTATAGAGTTCATTGATTTGTCTAACACAATGGACATTATATTTATGACGAATTAAAGGAGTGGCCTCATGTGTGAATAAAATATACCACTATCACATACCATTAAATGAATAAATCTTTAAGGCCCCGTGCACAGTTATTTAACCAGTCAAGTATACTTTAAAGAATTTGAAGTGGCAGTGTTCTTGAAAAAAGGTTGGTGAATATTCCAAATTATGGGAGATATTAACCAGTAATTATAATATCAAACATTTATATTTCAGATATGGACAACATCCATGCCTAAGGAAAGACTTCCCAATTCATTTTTAAAATTATGTGAATCAGAGAGACCAAAGGACATCATTGATATTCGGCTGACAATAAAAAGAATGGCCAGGATATTACAGATGACCACTTTGACTTCACAAAGAAAATGCAAATGATTGTGTCTCAAGAGTTCCAGAAAACACTAGAAAAGTGAATAGACTGGGCTACATGCAAGTAGAAATTAAACTGATTTATGTTAGGACTATTCAAAATTTAGTCAAAGGAATATCATTTATCAAAACAAGGACGTCAACCTCTGGACTGAAAACGAGCAGGATTCCCATTGAATTTTCCTATGGCACAAATTCTGTTCTCTGATTCGCCGGAAGTGACGCACTTTGACCTACTTATGCGTGGACCGCCATAAATGAAAAAATTATTCAGTTAAAGTCTAATTATATGCCCTGAAAAGTGTTATAAATGTAAATGAAGGACAAATATCAACTAATCCTAGTAAGTATCAGTCGATTTACCACACAAATTAGCCATAAAATGCCAAAGAATCCAGAACTCTCCCTTTGATTTTTTCCGATTTTTTTCGATTTATTTTTCATTTTTCGTCCATTCTTTGCCATATTTAGGCAAAATGAAGATGATTTATAGATCAACTAACGAACAGAATGGTTATATGAGTTCTGCTGATACAAATTTAGTGCCGCTTTATAGTTTTTATACCAACTGATTTTGCTCAAAATTTCAGATTTTTGGGGGATTTTTTTGCAACATGACAATGTTTCGACACATGTTTGTCGTAATATGATCCTTGAGTGCATGTAAATTTGTATTTTCATGATTCCTATACATACTTATTATATGCTACTGTCATATGCAGTAGCTGAAGTATCAATGTCTTTATAATTATACTAGTTCCATGCCCCACCCTAAGTTTTCAGTCAACACATATTTTGTAGAATTCCCAAAGTTAGCGTGCCCATATCTCGGGTAATATATATGCAAAATGAGAAGAGTAAACTGTTTTCAGTTCATCTAATGGTGCAGATTTCACAAAATAATGTTTCCCTTGATAAGTGTAAAGGTTAATGCATTTTTTGAATGACCAATGTCATGACCTTACGTCCTATTGATTCCTACAGCAGCGCTGGAATTATGAGAGAATACCAAAGTAAGCGTACCTATATCTCAGGTTATACTCATGCAAACTGAGAAAAGTAAACTGTTTTCTGTTCATCTAATGGTTCAGTTTTCTATTGACAATTCTAAAGGTTTATGCATTTTTTGAATGACCAATGTCATGACCTTATGCCTATCGATTCCTACAGCAGCGTTGAAATTATGAGGGAATACCAAAGTGAGCGTACCTATATCTCAGGTTATACTCATGCAAACTGAGAAAAGTAAACTGTTTTCTGTTCATCTAGTGGTCCAGATTTTATAAAATAAGTTTTCCATTGACAATTGTAAAGGTTAGTGCATTTTTTGAATGACCAATGTCATGACATTACGTCCTATTGATTCCTATAGCAGCATTGGAATTATGAGGGAATACCAAAGTGAGCGTACCTATATCTCAGGTTATACTCATGCAAACTGAGAAAAGTAAACTGTTTTCTGTTCATCTAGTGGTCCAGATTTTATAAAATAAGTTTTCCATTGACAATTGTAAAGGTTTGTGCATTTTTTGAATGACCAATGTCATGACCTTACGTCCTATTGATTCCTATAGCAGCATTGGAATTATGAGGGAATACCAAAGTAAGCGTACCTATATCTCAGGTTATACTCATGCAAACTGAGAAAAGTAAACTGTTTTCTGTTCATCTAGTGGTCCAGATTTTATAAAATAAGTTTTCCATTGACAGTTGTAAAGGTGAATGCATTTTTTGAATGACCAATGTCATGACATTACGTCCTATCGATTCCTACAGCAGCGTTGAAATTATGAGAGGATAGCAAAGTTAGCATACCTATATCTCAGGTTATACTCATGCAAATTGAGAAAAGTAAACTGTTTTCTGTTCATCTAATGGTGCAGATTTCATAAAATCAGTTTTCTATTGACAATTCTAAAGGTTTATGCATTTTTTGAATGACCAATGTCATGACCTTACGTCCTATTGATTCCTACAGCAGCGTTGAAATTATGAGAGAATAGCAAAGTTAGCATACCTATATCTCAGGTTATACTCATGCAAATTGAGAAAAGTAAACTGTTTTCTGTTCATCTAATGGTGCAGATTTCATAAAATAAGTTTTGCATTGACAAATGTAAAGGTTAATGCATTTTTTGTATCACCAATGTCATGACATTACTTCTTATCGAATCATGTCATGACATGGAACTTATGAGCAAACGTCAAAGTCAGAGTACCTATATCTCAATTTACTTTGTGCAAACTGAGAAAAGTAGGCTGTTTTCTGTTGGTCTAATGCTGCAGATTTTTCAAAATCAATTGACAATTGTAAAGGTTAATACAATTTTTGAATCACCAATGTGAGCACCTACCTACCTAACTCAAGCCATGGCATTGAAATTTCGAGAGAATGCCATGGCCAGCGTACATTTATCTCAGGTTATACTAGTGCAAAATGAGATTAGTAAACTGTTTTCTGTTCATCTATTGGTGCAGATTGCTCAAAATAAAATTTCCATTGACAAAATGGTTTATATATTTTTTGATTCACCAATGTTATGACATTGCGTCCTATTGATTCCTACATCGGCATTATGAGAGACTGCCAAAGTCTGCATACCTTTAGAGTACTTTATTTTCTAGGCCTATATCGAAAAATTGGTCTACCACTGAATGCTCATTGTTATTATTTAACAGAATATGAATCAAGTCTTATGTGATTATTTCTCTTTTCAGCAAACATGGGTAGGAAGTTCAAGTTGACAAGAAAGAAGCGGGAGTTCCCAAGTGGCACATACAAACCTAAACAGTCACATGGAGTCTCAAAACAAAAAGATGGACCATGCAATAGGGTTGGTTTTTCAGTTTTTAAGAACTGCCACTTTTTTATTATTCAATGTTATTGCACAATCAGTAGATCAAAAGAGACTTAGTACATCATATATACCTATGATACCAAACATTGAAGTGCCCCCCCCCCTCCGAGGATTACATTTTCAGACATTTCTAACATCAAATGGCAGCCAGCCATATTGTTATCCCCCTTGCATGCCTTGTTATTAATGGGCTATATTTAAATTAAAATTCCAATTTCTTGGTCATTAGTTTTTTTGCATTTTAAACAAGTTGCTATTTGTTTTCCATGGAATACTTATTGGGACTCAGTGTCTCAGCAGGAGGTAAATAATGCGTCAAAATTTTACGAAAATGTGCATTCACTGTTAAGAATGGGAATTGTCCATTAAAAGATGAATGAACGCTACAAGAAACTAAACATTTTTAGCTCATATTCATAATACATTTTATATTTATTTTATTCCAAAATACAAGACTAAAAAGTTCAACTTTCTATATGCATTTAGATAATAGAATGAAATTTTCAACTTCAACCAGTCTATAATATGTATAAATGCTATTCAAACATGCCAAGTGTGTCTCAGCCAATCAGATTAAAGCATTTCAGTGTGTTAATTTATTGATACATGCATGAAAATGATATTGCTGTGCATTTAATTTTTTATAAATGCACGGGCTGTTCTTTAAAAAGGGGTGACAGCATATCACCAGTGTGTTCATTTCAGTCAATGTTATGATTTCCAACTAAGTTTTCATAATTTTTCTGCATCAAATTAGTTATTTCATTTCCTGTAATATGACAAATAAAACCTTCTCAATAGTTTTCAAACGAATATCAATTGTAACACAACACCCCTATTTAGTATTTCTAAATAATAGACTTGTCCAAAAACATTTAAAATTTAATTTCCTCAGAGACAACAATCTTGTAGATGTAAATGGTGAACTGTTCTACTTCATCATTGACCAGAGTCATGTTTGAATTGCAATAAAGAATCATGTATCATTCTATATTGGAAATATATAAGCATTCGTGGATGTACAAACCCATTCTGATAATGCACTCAGGCTCCGCCTTCATGCATTATGCGTATGGGTTAGTACATGCACTCATGCTTTTATATTTCCAATATAGAATGATACATGATTCTTTATTCCTTAAATACATGTACTCATGTAGTACTGAACAACTATTTCAGAGCTTTTAAACTGAGCAATTACCTTGCTTGTGGTGCACTATTTAAAGATGATGTACATTAAATTGAATAGTTCATGACAGTCTAAAACATGTAATTTTTTAAAGTTAGGAAGCAAGAGAAGATCTGAGAGACTGTGTGCTCTTCCCATGGACTTTGCCCTTTGATGCCAAGCGTTTCTTTCAAAATTTCACAAATGAATCTGCTCTAAGATTGATGAATTTTGCAGTAACAATATGAAAAAGTTCATAGCGAATGTCCTCCCAGGCAAATTTCACCGAATCGCTACATGATATGTCAAGGTGAAGTTTCTTCTTCAGATTGACAGATATATCTGCCATCACAGTCTCAATGTTTAATTGCTGCCGCACCACACACTCAAGTTTATAGAAGAAACTGTACACAGCATCACTGACTTTGAATAAGCCTCCTCTATTGATAGTTGTAGTCCAGGCTTTAGTGTAGTCCTGGAGGCTCTCTCCCTCAATGTCATCATCATTGGCCCGCCAATTTTGTAGGCACAAAACATACAATCCAAATTTCTCTCCTTTAAACCGCCTATATCTCTTCATCAGAGAAAACGGAATGAAACCTGCCACATATCGGAGCGTGGATTCCTCTTCTTTTGTTATTGAGGAGTCAATTTCTGGTACTGTATTGGCACTTTGGGAAGGAGTAAGAATATCACAGAGTTTGATGAAATAAGTCCATTTTACATTGGCGCTCAGTAGTTTCCCACTATAGTTAACACCAAGACTTTGATAGAAATGGTTGAATTCTTTGTTTAATTCAATGTCAATTTGTGTTTGGTGGAAATTCTGAAGCATAGTATATTTCATTGATGAGTCCAGCTTCTTTGTGGACCCACTTACGATGACATCACTCATCGCATCGTAAAGTCTTGTACCAAAGTTGTCAAATGTTTCCTGGTTCGCTGGATTAGCTGAGGCACTGCAAATCTTTGATGCGGCCTCATTGGCCCGACCCCCACTCGACTCTGGGGGAAAAGCGTTCGACAAGTTGTCATTCGCCAACTGTAGAAACGTTGATTTGAGGATACTTCCAGCCTGGGCTCTTGACGTTTTGATGTCTACTGCTGGACGCTGACCTGGAAATAGAATGATTTTATGATAATATTTTTTCTAGATACAAGTTTATAATAAATACAGGGTATGGTAACGCTGATACATGCAATGTTATTGGAAATATGATATGTGCTGTTTCAGAGTGGCACATCAGCAAGGGCATCAAGCTACAATGGGGCATTGGTCGAGAAAGCATGACATTATTTTTTTCAAAATGAGGCGGCTGTTTGGTAAACATCAATTAGATATCTAGAACATGGCAAAAAGAGAAAAATTACCCCCCCCCCTCAAAAATGACCAAGGACGTCTATCTTATAATGTTACTTTGATTACCCATCCGTGAATCTGACACATGTACTGAATTTTTTGCAATCAACGTACCTATTATATCTCTCTCTAAAGGCTTGGGAACTGGAATTTCATTTTCAATTTCATTTTCATTTCTGTTTTGGTGTTTTTTCTGAATATGTTTCACTAAACTGGTCTTTTTCTTGTACTTTTTAGAGCATTTGGAGCACTGGAATAGTTCAGCGTCGCTCTCTGTTTTATCATCTTCATATAGTTCGTTCAAATCTATTTCTCCACTTTCGAAATCATCAAATATCGCTTCAAACAATTCGCCAGTTATAAAGTCATCGTTGTACGCCGCCATCTTAAATCAATCTAATTAGGTCATCATCCGGGCGAGTAATATGGCGGTAATAGAAGTTTGAAACTTTAAAGTTTTTTGATTGGTTAAGAGTTATGACGTCACTATGAGAGAAATAACATAGCCGAATCAGACATCAAACTGGAGAATCCTGCTCGTTTTCAGTCCAGAGGTTGACCTCCTTGATCAAAATCAGTATTGTATATGTCATCTGACACAAAAATTTAACCACCTGGTAGTGAAATTACCTTAATTTTAGAAAACGGCAGTTGCTTTTCATGTCCTCAGTTTGAAAGGTCAGTGTGATGCCTGGCTTGCCTGGCTCCAATAAGACATTGCTCAGATAAACTTTGATCAAAAGCCAGTATTTCTCTCCTCTATAAGAATATATAGATTGGGATGGGGGATGTGTAGACACATTTTCCGTGGCTTCATCTTGTCTGTAACATTCTCTCATTAAAGCACTAGAATTGGTTGATCTAGATTTTTGCTTTAATTTATTAATGACAATACCCATTTGATATGACGTAAGTACTATTCTTAGATCTTCATGTCTCATGTTTTGTGCACTTAGGTCAATCAAGAATGACACATCTTGTCGTACATGGAGAGGTTGTTCTATGCATCAGCAGGTTTTCTTAGGTTGTTGCCTTGTTTGTCATTGTGGGAGCAACCTACAAACAGGCATTCCTCCTAAGTTATGTTCTTGTATCTTATACAGGCAATAATGTGGAATAATGGGAATAATGTCATTCAGTGCGTCCTCCCCATCTGTGTGTTTGCCATTGAAGAGATCCTGAATTTGAAATATTAAAAACTATTAAATAACATAAATAAACAAGACTTTTTTCTCCGTCCCTGCGCATGATCACAACAGATATGTGCCAGTTCAGGCTTTTTTGGCATAGAAATCTGCCTGAGTCTCGAGATGTGGCATGGGCAGGAATTCATTGCCCAGTCATTGATTATGTAGACCTGAAAATTAAATTCAAAGCATTACTTATTGGCTCGTGCTGAGGCAAGAGCCATATCTCACTTGGGTTTAGAAGTAAGTGATAACGACAATGGACTGAGGTTTAAATGTTAGTTTACTAGTAGAAAACCTGATAGGTTGATATTTATTGATGAAAATGAGTTAATTCCTCGAGCAAAACTTTAACCCTAAGGTGTTGGTTTATAATAAAATTGCGACATATATGCAATTTTACAACAACACCATGAACACTGTGCACTGATTTTCAGCAACATGATTTCCTTAATATGACAGAAATACGAGCGACTTCTTGATTTAGAATTGTGAACAATTCACAGCATTAAAAAAACTCCAAACATTTAACTATTTTATTAATATCTTCAGAGAACGAGTATCAAATTGACCCATCTTCACTTTTTGATATGTTTGGATGTTTTCTAAGAGGTCCAGGTACTCAGACCTTCACAATTTAAAGATCTTAATCAGTTCAAAATTTTTGGATTTTTTTCTACTTTTGCCATTCGGTAAATTACAATCGCGTTAAAAGTAAGCTTGGCAATTTACTTATACAGTGAAACTTGACTTAGAAAACACAGGGTAACAACATGTACTTACTGATGCAGCCTTATTTTGGTACACCAAAGTTCGATGTTTTTGCTCGGGCTCAACCATGTTTTTATCGTACCTAACAAAAGGTACGATATTGTAGTCAGCTTGACGGGCGGGCGGGCGGGCGGCGTCTCACTTTTCAGCTTGTCTACAGGTTTCCAGCCAACAATTTGAGGGATTCATCTGAAATTTCTACATATCAACGTCAAGAACTGATTAGTTTTTGGGCATTCTGGGTAAATCTTAAGGTGGCCATTTTGGATTTTCTGTCCTAAAATCTTTACTTTTAAGACTTGTCTTGTTATCTTGGAAAAGCACAAAACCAATGATGACAGCATTGATTTCATTCATGTGTCTCCTCTTTACAATGATATATCATTCATTGATATATATGGGTGGGGGGTGTTCCTAGGTCATCATCATACTTTGATGTGTTCAATGTAGGGGACGTCACGGGGATAAGGGGATATCCACAATCTGTTTCCAGAAGTCTGCTGCCATCTCGTCATCCTTGGCGGGTTCTATTCCCACGATGTCATCCATTTCCTGTGTGGATAATGGAGCCAGCACAGGTCGGTTCGTAATGATCCGAATGGTTCTCTTGGTAGTGAGGTTTGGCACAGTGGCTTGGTGCTTCCTCCGACTTAAACCGCCGCCGGCACTTTCTTATATTTTTGCACTTCTGTATGAATTGGTAACGGGGAGCAGAATTCTCCTGGAAAGAGTGAGTATTGTAAAAAAGGTCAAGTTAATCCTGTTAGTCCAATGCCAATACGGTTCCTGTTGTAGGTGATGTTATAACATAATTTTTTAATTTAATGTTGTCATGGATAAGACCCTTGTAGTGGATGTGGCTTACTGCATCAACCAGGCAGATGAGTTGAACGATGAGATTCTTGCTGCTTAAACGGAATTGGTCTTGATGTTGGAGGATGTTGTCAAAATGTGCTTTCAAGTTAATCCTGTTAGTCCAATGCCAATACGGTTCCTGTTGTAGGTGATGTTATAACATAATTTTTTAATTTAATGTTGTCATGGATAAGACCCTTGTAGTGGATGTGGCTTACTGCATCAACCAGGCAGATGAGTTGAACGATGAGATCCTTGCTGCTTAAACGGAATTGGTCTTGATGTTGGAGGATGTTGTCAAAATGTGCTGTGAAGATCAGATGGTGTGTGTATATACTTAGTGGCGATGGTGAAGGTGGTGTATCATCGATGTTGATTGCGATGCGTTGTTGAATTGAAGGGTGACAGGGTTGTTGATCTGAAGGGGCAGCCTGGAGCTCGCTGATTTTCGTGTAAGTTGTTATTCGAAGAAATTTTTTCTGCAGTTTTAAAAGTGGTTTTAAAGTTGTTTTACTTGCTTTACCCCATATCAGGATGCAGTATTGCAAATGAGAGTAGATTAATGAATAATATAGTGTTAAAAGAGTTTTTAAACCGAAAAGATGTCTTGTTTTGAAAAGTATTCCCAGGGATTTTGAAATTTTGAGAGTGATCTTTTGTATATGATCTTTCCAATTGAGATATGAGATCTCCAGTTAACTTCTGCTAGGGGAGACTCAAAATTTGATATTATCATGCCATTATTTTTATTTAGAGCTGTTTATCATGTTTCCATTTTCCTTCCATAATATTTGTATGAACCCCTTTATCTCCCATTTGGCCATGTTTTTGTCTACCATTAAGCTATTCTTGTGGATGAGGATGTATGAGAAATTGGTAAACCTATAGTCACTGGGGGTCTAATGGCTGCATCAAAATTGTAAGATTGAAGTTTCCAATATTGCTTAGTGGGTATAGCAATTGGATGTAGCAGATTGTGTTTTAAGCCATTCACTCTTGCCAGGGATGTTTGTCTCCAAATTTTATTCAATATTATTTATTGTTACCTGTGATCACAAATTTTCCAACTAGGGGGCCCTTCTCAAACAAATACTTCTCCAACTCAATCAACACAAACTTGTTGTCTTCTGGTTGTTGTGATAATCTGGGCTTTGATAGGACTGGTTTCCGTCTTAACAAAACTGAAATAAACAATGAGGAACAATATTAAAATTAAAACATAGCAGCATGCCTAAATCTGAGTCAGGAACAAGAAAGTTGATGGGGCTTAATAAATTTAATTCAAAATTCAATATTTGATATCAAGGATTTTCTCCCAATTTACAAATAGATGAATATTCTCAAGGAAATGCCCAATTTTCGGTTGTTTTGACTTGAAATGACAAATCCCTATTTTCTTAGAATGTGATTATCATTCATCAATAATTCACCAATGATATTAAATAAATCAAAAGATACTCACACGATGAATCTGAATAGATATCTCATCACGGAAACGTACATGTTGACTTCTCTTTAACAGAAAACCTGTAATACAATGTAAAGTGATTATTAGCACCAAACTCACATGAGAAGTAACTTAAAGGCCCCAAGCAAAGTTCAATAGAAATCTATGTAATTCTGATCCTAAGTCACCTCAAATTTGTGTTGGAGCAAATGTGACCTAGACTTTAATATTGGAATATCTCTTCCACTGATGTACACACATATCCGGGCTAATATCGTAGTTAAATATTTTTGTTTTATGGAATAAAAACAAGATCTTTAATGTAAACATCCACACTTCTTCAAATCAATTTTAATATATCCTGAGACTCATAGAGTACTGTAAATCCAAAACACAACCAATTAAAGCGGTCTATCGGTCAGTCGGTATAATAACCAATGAATACGAATTCTGAAAAAACATTTCAAATATATTTGGCTTCGACTTTGTTTGAGAGGGACGCGAAATGTTGGAATAAAAATCACGGTCGGTCTAACTTCAATGTACAATCTACAGATCGAAGTAGGTCTATAACTTATTAAATAATTATTTGTCCTTATTGCGATTTGGCCTTCTGGAAGATTATATTTTATTATATGATCAGTGAAACATGTGTCGATGCAACAAGTAGCACTGGCGCCGATCAGCGCAACATTCGATGCACCGACAGAATTCACCGTTGCACCGATCGATGCATCGATTGTTAGTGCCAACGCACCGATTGACGCATTGAAATGGATGTGCCGATGCATTGATAGATGCACCGAGATAGTGTGCCGCGATGCACTAAAATGAGATCCTCGGCGTGACCTGTACTGTAGACCAACTGGGTTGTTAGGGCTCGTATAGGGATTTGAGTCTGCATACATTTTCTTAAGATCCTGACTATGAATAAGATGACTTATCCTTATGTTAACAGAATGATTACTTATTCCATGGGCTTTCAATTGCAAGCATATCAGATAATGTAATAGAAAACAAGACACCTTAAAAGTAGACACCTTTAAAATGATTGGTTCTACACCAACTTTAATGAACTAATATTTGAAAACAGGTAGTAATGAAATAGAATGAACTTTTATATTGTACGAGATTACTAATTCTATGTTAAGGAGACACCTTTAAAACGGTTGGTTCTAGCCATATTTTGAACATTTATTTAAAAACAGATGATGAAATATAAAGGAACTTTTACAATGGTATATACAATAGGTATATGTACAAAAAATGATAAAATGATACATTTTATATTGTACAATATTACTGATTCACTAGTAAAGAAGACACCTAAGACAACTTTAAATGATTGGTTCTAGCCATATTTTGAACTTTTATTTAAAAACAGATAATGATGAAATAAAAATGAACTTTTACAATTTCATATACAATATATGTACAAAAAATCATATAATGATACATTTTACATTGTACAATATAAATGATTCTCTAGTAAAGAAGACGCCTTTAAATGATTGGTGCTAGCCATATATGGAACTTTTATTTAAAAACGGATAATATGAAATGTAAATGAAATTGTACAATGGTATATACAATATATGTACAAAAATGATAGAATGATACATTTTATATTGTACAATAAGACTTATTCTCTAGTAAAGAAGACACCTTTAAATGATTGGTTCTAGCCATTACTTTGAACTTTTATTTAAACAAAGATAATTCTCTAGTGAATAACACACCTTCAATTTTACAATGATAGGTTTATTTCTATCTATGAAGTGTTGGGGCCCTGGTGTGTGGTGAGGACCTAGGTCTAGGAGGTGTCACTAACCAACACAAGTTTTACAACTTGTCCTGAAACCAACTCAATTTGTCCAGTTTCTCCGGAAAAATGTACCTAAGTTGCCTGGTCACAACAACTTTAACATGTTTCCTTGCTGCACTGTCTCCATATAGTTTTCTCACAGCCTCAGCAAGGGCTGCCACCTTAGTTTGGTTCAGTTTTCCCTTTGAATCAACACCAACAGGGACTTTCCCAGTCATATTAAGATTTTTACATTCTCCAAGAGTGAATATGTGGTTGAAAATGTATCTAGCTTCATCCCTTACTTGCTCTTCAAGTGGGAATTTAACTCTTGCATCAGCAATAATTGATGCATCTATTTCATTATCAGTGTGAAGGGCTGAGGAGTTGAAGTTTTTGATGCTATGTAATCCAAATGTTCCTTTGTTATTTGTCCATTATTTGTTAACAGTTGAGCTGGTGTACAGTTCCAAATACGGTTATTATTAAAAATGGGAGATTAAGATGATGTTGCTGATCTGGTAGGCACTGTGGATCTGGTATGTTGGGCTCTGGTAGGTGATGAGGGTCTAGTGGCTCTGGTAGGTGATGAGGGTCTAGTGGCTCTGGTAGGTTATGAGGGTCTAGTGGCTCTTGTTGGTAATGAGGGTCTAGTGGCTCTGGTAGGTAATGAGGGTCTAGTGGCTCTGGTAGGTGATGAGGGTCTAGTGGCTCTGGTAGGTGATGAGTTATTTCAGCTAGTACAATATCCCGTTATAAAACCAAAATACGCTCCTTGGTCATCGCAGAAATGGTCTTGCAACTAACCTGTATGTGCCCGCTTGTCTTTGTAACTTAATAAATAAAAAATACTAAATATAAAATATGATTCTGAATAAAACTTTATAAGATCGTGGTTTGCATTATTTATTCATTTATACGAACGCTCTCGTCTTTTGAACTTAAAATGAGTATGGAAATACACCAAGCCAAGTGGCCATAAGTAATTATTACTGTACATGTATTGCTTTCCAAGAATTATTAATAATTGTACATTCCCAAATAAAAAATAGAAGAATCTGGATAGAATTCCCACTTCTTGCAGTAGATCGATCCAATACACAATATCAAGTTTAAAATCAGACAATATGTGCCGGCCGTAAAAGTTTCTGAATTTACCGGTCGGCGCGTCGTTCGGTGCATTGATCGTCGCACCGAGGTGTGATGGCCACTCTGGACTGTACTGTACAATCACAGCACTTACAGGCCTTCTATCCTGAACAAGGTGGTAAACCACTTTCATCAAATCTGAAAGTGATATGATTCAATATACCATTAATGTAGTTCCTATACTTATCTCTCTGTCTATGTATTGCTTCCAGTCTATCACGTTGATCAGAGGCAATCATTGTCATCATTCCTGATGAGGGTGCCAAAAATACCTGCCTCCATGGCCTTGGAAAAACCATTTCAGTTTGCTACGCACTCATGTGGTCGAACTACCTTGCCTGAAATATCTGAATTTTATCTGTATGTACTCTTATTATGTAAGCCAGCACCACAAATGCATGCTTTTTTAATCTCATGTATAATCTCAAGTTTTAATCCATGTTGACTGGTGATCAACTCAAAACGATTTGTTTCGGTAACAAAATGTTGGAACATTGAATTTGTGATTTTTCTTTTTTTCCTTATTCCACACTTAAGTTACATAAACGGTATTTCGAAAAACAGTTAAGATCTACACTTTTAACCCATATTGTTTATGTAACTTGAGTGAGGAATTAAATTGATGCAAACATGTACAGTTTCTAAAACATATGATACTGATACACGTTTGTGAGAAAAAATGTCGTTGGAATTCTGCTTACAATGCATGAAATAAGGAAAAAAAATCTTACCTCTAGACAATTTAGAGTTTGTGATACAGCTACAACAAATGAATATTACTTGTGGCCATATTATGTAGAATCTATGGTCACCTGAAAACTTTTCCGTTAGAACAAAATTGCAAATGCGATGTTAACCAGAGTATGACATTGTATGGTTATATGATACAACATTTAATATTTATAATAAAACATTTGATATTTGTAGACATATGTTTAGCATTAATTTTAACATGTGTAGAAAAAGTGATGTCATCCAATTGATACAATGATATTATCCAAAATCACCTCAATATCTTATCACTGAACACACACTTATCACATATTTTAATAGGTTTAGTCCGAATCTCTAGGCATGAAACGCTGCAAATCTAATCCATCCATATGAGCTTTTGCTCTCAAGTTAGCTGTATAGGTGTTTGAAGCTCTTTTAGTATAACTTACAAACATAAACTGTATGTATGGTGGCATAATTGTTAATTATGGGCAAAATAAGATCATATTCACAATGTACTGTACTACTGTACCACTCTTGAGCAGCTTGGCAGGTCGAGGAGCAGATCTATCCACATTGTTAAACAATTGCCTCATGGGTGCAACTTGTGCTGGTGGTCCATCATCAGATTCAACCAGTTGCCTCAAGGGTGCAGCCTGTGCTGGTGGCTGGTGCTGGTGCTGCGGACTCTCTTTTTGGATCAATTTTTCCATGAATGACAACTATTTAAGACATATTGGTATGTTCAATGTACAGGGTGTCCAATAAATAAGATAAAAGAAACTGTAAGTAAGTCTAAATTAGAATTTTTTTTATTTACTTGGGAAGCTGAAATGGGATAACAATTGCTTTCCTGGTGTCCAAGTCCAAATGACTTTATTGTCTCTAAAACATTTCTCTGATAGCTGTTTGAACAAGAATGCTAAAATGAATGCCTCCATTAGGGACATGTACATCGCATGCTCGTGAATCCTGTTTTATAGTTTAGTTTATTTCATATTATAGTGGTCGGTCTTACATACAATATATATCAGTAATACAGTGTAATACAATAATTTACCCAGCCCACCTTGGGCTTATCAACCACTTTTTACAAATTATAAAAATCACATTTCAGCAGTAATGCTTTGTTTGTTAAGTATATATAAGAGAAATTCAATGATTATAAATATATTCCCTTCTTCTAATAAATGCTTCTTTGATATATTTAACTATCTTACAGGTGTGTTCATTGAAAAGAAGTTTCATTTTTTCACTTTCTTCTAAATTATTTAGGTCAAGATTCTGAAAGAATTTTAACCTTATATCATGATATCTAGTACATTGAAATAAAAAATGTGCCTCATTTATCAACCTTGTTTTCATCACATAAAATATAAAGTCTTTCTTCTACACTTTCACCCTTGTATATACCTGTTTCTATTCTGAGTGGTAGGATGCCTAATCTTAACTGTGAAGTTAAACTACGTTCAAACCTCGAAAAATTTAACATGAGATATTTGTCTGTTTTAAATTCTTGGGTTTTGCTTTTATAGCCTCTGACCATTCTAATATATAGCTCTCCATCAAACAATTTTCCAGATATTCTAAATTTACAACCTGGTTATCTACAAGATCTTGTTCCATATCTACTGATAATAAAATATCTCTAATGTTATTTATCCATACAGTGTTATTCTTTTTACTCCATATAAAAAACTTTCTTTGTTAAACGATCATTATCAAGTGATACAAATCTAATCCACAGTCTAACAGCTTCCAGCTTATGAATTATTTTCAAATGAAGCCAACCAACATCCCCATATACACCTATTAGTGGGGCAAAACGGTGTACCCCTAAAACATATCGCTGAGCTCTATTGTGAATATAAATACATGTGGAAAGTGCATGTTTATCATATCCCCATACCCCTGCTGCATAATGCAGTACTGATAATACACACGAATTGTACAGTTTTGAAAAAGTTTTAAAGCCAAAATCATTTGATAACTTACTCCTATTAATGACTGAGCCAAGGGCCTGACCTGCCGAATCAGCTAAAGTGCTTGCTGTTTTGGCAAAACCTCCAAATTCTGAAAAGAACACACCTAAATATTTAGAATTATTTACCTTTTCGAGGCTTTGTTACCCAAAAGTAAAACAAAATTTGTTCTTATGACATTTTTTGGTCTAAAATGTACAATATTAGATTTTTCTACATTGATAAGTAACCTCCATTTTTTACACCAAGCATTTATAATATTCAAAATCTGCTGCAGATTCTCCTCAGAACTGGATAAAATAAAATAACTATATCATCTGCGTAAGCTAATGCTGAGATATTTACATCATCTTCAAGCTCAATCCCAAGTTTAGACTCTTTAATCTCTTTTAATAAACCATTAAGGTAAAATGAAAAGAGATCTGGGGATAAGGTATCTCCCTGACGAACACCAGAGGATGTACCAAACCAATCAGTCAAAATATCATTTACCTTAACAGCAGATGAGGTGGCCGTGTACATACTTTTGATTGCTTCATATATTTTTCCATTTACTCCATTTTTCCGAAGTACATAAAATAATAAGTTTCTGTTTACATAATCAAATGCCTTTTGCATATCAATAAATCCTGCAAATACATCTTTCTTATTTTCAATAGAGTGCTGTACAATAGAATTTAAAGTGAAAATATGATCAGTACAAGAACGTCCTTGCCTAAAACCATTTTGCTCATCTACCAATATATTTTCCCTACCATAAAATGTTACAAGCCTATTGTTAATCACACTACTGTAAAGCTTATAAACACATGACAGGATGCTTATTCCACGATAACTGAGTGGTATACGGTTATCTTTATTTCCACCTTTAGGTATCGGAATATTATAGTTGCCCATGAATCCTGTTTCATAGTTGCATTGCACCATTTCAAGAATATTTTCCGAAGCAACTGGTATTGTTCTTCCAATTGGACAGTAGTTGCTGTTAACAACTTCCCATCCCCACCGCTGAAAAGCATTCTAAAAGACTCAGTTGCGTTACAACAATAAACAATTGGAAATAATTCAATGGATTGTTGAAATCTGAAATTGTAATGGTTTCACTATCTGTTTTTGTTGAGTTCTGAAAACTTCTCCTTTCAGTGGCATTTTAAAGTCATAATAAAAAATTAGAAAAGCACCAACCCTATTACTTTTACTGCCAAATATATTTTGCACCAAAATATACACTCACATAATACTGAAATATTAATATGATTAATTAACCAAAGAATCTGTTTTTAGGTCATTTTAAAAGTTAGCTCTCCCTCAATAGCGACAAAATACATATTTAACCCTTAAATGTTTTTTTGTTTTTTACACCCTCTAAAGGTTTTTGGGGTCCAAACCAACCAGAGAAGCTTTTTCCATTTTGACTTCAGTTTTACATAGGTTAATCTATTACCTTTCAGAATATGTATGCATTATTTATCATGAATGCATCGAAATATGTGTAAACCTAATCATAAGGGGTCAGGTG